AACCGAGGTGCATAAATACTAGTTCTTATCAATGAATAAATCAAGGCTTTGTGAATTATTTCAAATACAACAATGAAATAAAAATAGTCATGTTTTAAGAGTCATTCCCATGTGTTTTTTACTTACTATTGTTTTCTTTCTATAATTTTCGCTTCAGTTTTTTAAAAGTTACCAAGTCATTGAAAGCAGGAAGCTTTTGGGTTCAATGCAATTTTGTTCGAAGTTTCGTGTGATGTAAATAAAATTGTAGATAGAATGATTTAACTTGGTTTATGAATTGTAAAATCTATAAAACCTCTTTTAACTCTTCTTGTTTCTTCATTGCATTGGGGTTTTCTTGGTACATATTCGGTAGTTTCAGCTTTCCGGCTGCATTTTCTTCGTCAAAGATCAGTCCATTGTGGGGCCTGTCACCAATCGCTTTTGCTACATATGGGCCCTATTTACGAGCCCATTAGCCGTCCTTTTTTATTTTGTCGTCCCAAGCCGTCCTCCTAGTCTCCTAGACAATAATGTGAAGATAAATACAATTTATCACGAATACACAAATAAAATAGTCTATTGGTTGGCTCCTCAAGTCATGTTGGATCTATTGAGTTTTTGCAAGTGGTTTTATTCAAGATATTATCAACTTAACTTTCGACCGATTTAGCGAAAGCAAAAAATTTAGTCGTTGTCAAATGTTAATCGGTTATTAAAACGGTCCACATTATAAATGAAAAACACTTCTATAATTGTATAAGGTTGAAAAATGATTAGTAATTTTTAGACACAAATATGTAAAACTAGACCTCTGCGGCTTTTTTCTTTTGGTCGAAGACCTTTGTGGCTTAAAAGCACAATATATTAAATGAAAATGTAACCTTTTCTTTTTTCACTTTACTTCCATTTCAGTAAATAAAAACATACAGAAAAGTTTTAGGCGACATGCAGGTGACAAGTAGCAGAAGACAGTTGACGACGTGTCACATTCAGCATTTGATCTGATTTCTACGAACCTCAAATCGAGCGGTGGAGATGATGTCACACTCTTCTATATGTAACTCCGATCAATGACGTACCATGTCGGGTCGCATAAGAGAAAAATTGTGAAACTACTTATTTTTGTTTCTTTTAGCTGGAGAAATGGTTTTACACCCGAGAAATAGAAGGATTTTGTTGATTTGTAAGATT